TAATACTATTGAAGCGTTCGCGGATGTTCCGCTGGTGGCTTTAATAATCAGCGGGGCGAATTCTTCGTCGGCATCCTAATTCGATTTAAGCTTGACCTACAATTTGCATTCTGTCGCATTCGGGCAACGAAAAAATTCAGATCGCAGTCATTCTTCGTCGCGGGTCAAAAGTAACTTCTGGGAATGCAACACCGGTTCGTTTTGAATTTGCAGAAGAGCGCACTTTTCTTTCGTGCAAACCATTAATTGCGTCAGGTTATGTTTCGTATGTATCACGAAGGAAACACGACGCTCGTCTAGTCATTAAGGCATTCCGTGTTTTCTTGCAAACAAATAAAAATGCTTAGTAAGGAATAGCATAATTATTGTTCTTTAACCGATCCAACTAATCCTCTTTACTTACAATTCGATTTGAAAATTAATTAACACTATATGTAAGGTGTAATAAAACAAAATTAAAAGTCTAGTGGCAAAGAAACATTTTCATTGTTGGGTCTAATAGATTAAATTCCAATACTGTACTTCTCTTTATATTTCCTGGAGAAAGCTGGTGATTTACGTTCGTAATCTTTCTTAATAATTATTTTTTATTATAAATTGTTCTGAATTAGGTTTAGGTAAATGTTTTAAAAAATAGCAATCTTGGAAATTTTTAAAAATCAAATTGGATTCGGTTAAAATTTGGGTCGTCTTATTGGTACGAGTGTTTTTGATGGGAAGGGCATTGTTCGAGATGAGGACTCCTCCTGTGCGTTTGGTGGTCTGGAATGCGTAGAAAGGGTCTTCGGGAGCACGCGCGACAGGTGAAGCCGCGGTCAACGCACCGGATCATTCCGGGAAAACGTATCACTACCGGACCGGATCATCCCAGGCGCTATTTTCTCTCTCTTGGAGAGGTCTGATAAGGAGCGCGCTTATCCTGTTTAACTGGTGTTGAAATACGCTCAACAGCAAATAAATGTATATGTGTATGTACACTGGTTGCATTGGAGTTGGTAAATATTGATTTGGTGCGAGGTTTTCCGGCGTTGTTGGCTATACGTTGCGGATTCTCGATGCCCTCCTCCTTTTCTCTTCCACACACATATCTATATATATATATAGTATACATGTACGTCGTATACCCTTCTTCGTTTTGGTGTGCACATGGTACATAGCATATAGCAAAGTCCGGCGGAAGGTTGTTGACTGGCTAGTATGTGTTGTGATTCTGTCTGAGACCCGCATTCCTCCAACAGGTCACACATGCCGCATTCGCCGCCATCCTCCATTATACACAAGCGTGCCATCTCTTTCCATCGGCTTCGATGCATTGCATTTTCTTGCAGCTCTTTGGCCATCTCTTCTTCTCGGTTCTCTCGCATCCTACTCTCTTCCACACGTGAGTTAAAGAACCCAAAGCAAATGACCGTACTACGAATCCTTACACACAACAAGTCCACGTTGCTCACTACACGTGGCATTGTTGTCTCTCACGACCATTTAATAACCCACCCATGCGAACCAATTCCGAAACGCAGCGCATTTCATAAACACTTCCAATGCTAAATAGAGTCCACCCGATACTTCATAGACCTTGGTCAGTTATAATAATGATAGACAATCATTGAAGCGCGGAACGTAATGCCTTTTAAATTGCCATCTGTCGATGGATATGATCCATTCCATTATTCGTGACGCATTCGGAAATTTCTACAAATTGATTATCTCCGCGCCGAAGTTTCCAAAAGCAAACAGAGCACGCCTTCTTTGTCCACGTCTCTTTTCCTGCTTTGTAATTACTCGTATATACGTGTAGCCCGTTCGTGAGAAATGTTTCGTTTGGGAGGGCTTTTTAATTGAACTCCAAATTGTATTACTCATTGTTGTTCGAGACTGGGTGTGAGGAATTTTCAGTGGAAAAATGTACAGAAACATGCACACACGGATTCATCATTCCATAATGCCAAATCATCGCATCCCAACAAAAAATAATAATACTATGAAACAACAATATGCATATTCCCAATTCAGATAATCCCTCAAAAACTTTACGCTGCATCATCAATTCGCAATAAAATTCTATTTTTAAAACAACTTAATCTCACTATTAACATAAATATATAATATTAATAAATGCATACTTATAAAAGGAATATTAAAATATTAATATTTATTGGTAATAATAAAATTAATTAATTATAAAATAATAATAATACAAATATTAAATTTAAAAAAGACAACTGCTTCAAAGGGCTATTCCGCCCAAAAAATATATTAATACAATATCATTAAATAATTGAAAGTATTGAAATAATAAAAAATAAACACTAAAACCACTTTTTATTAAGCTGTTTTGTTGTGATGAAATTATTATAAAGTAAATGAGGAAATTCTGGCTCATGCATAATTCACGGTCGTAATCTCCAGATAGCATCTTTTTTTATAACTTTTTAGTGCTGAAGATTCGTATGAGTCCTGAATTTACTTAAATCACAGATCGTTTCACGGAATTCCTCGCTTTTAAACATGATGGAATTTCTTCGAATTCGAAGCTCAGAAAGAGTATGCGTTTTATATTTATTTTCGTGTGAATTATTCAATACCCGAAGTGAAGAATCCCACAAAAATGCATTCTTCTTGGTTTTTCGACCATCCACGGTTTTATGACTGACAATGAATGTTGAGAAAAATAAAAGGAAAATCTAATTGTTACGTTGTAGATGCTCAGCATTGAATTTATAAAGTTTTTATTGTAGATAATTGTTATCACGTGTTTAAATCAATGTTGAAATTAATGAGAATTTGATGGGTTGAAAGTGTAATAATATGGATTAACGGAGGATTAATTTAAATGAATGTGGTAAAAGCCTGTAAAGGCATTCGATTGGGAAGAAAACGCCAATTACGTTGTTATTGGATGCATATTTAGTAGGTAGTAATGTCTATATTTATTGGTCGGAGCCATCTACAAGTAAAGTTTGCATAATGGTATGCACTATTAATGAGATAATGACACAGTAGATACGCCTAGTACTGCAATATCTGTTCTATCCTCTCTAATTCTCGTTTAGGAATTATTCATGCAGTTAGTAAACAAATTTGCTCTTACTATATTTATGTAACATTCAATATTGATCATCATTTATATTTGATTTGTGTCCGAGTTACTGTAACTTGCTCCCATCAAATGCATTTATCAATAGTTAATTAAAGGATTGTATTCAAATATTTCATTATTTATGAATACTAAATATGTACGAATGAATATAAAATATTTTTGTACAAATTGCGTATTTCCTCCTTTAGGAATGATTTAGTTCTAATCTAATTGCTATTGCTCCAATTACGTAAAATTGCTTCCAATAAATCATATCACAAATGTAAAGGTATTTACAGAAATTGAAAAATTACTAAATAATTGTTATGTAGTTGTAAATTTCGTTTATAAAAGTAAAACTTTCAAAGCAACAGGAAGAGTTTGTACATAGTTTCGTAAAGTTACATCTTAAAACATTCTACAAAATAGTAAGTAACCTTTTCGTTTTAACGCAATTTCATAAAATTTTTATTATGCCTCTATCGTTAAAGGAGAATTACAATGATGAAATACCACCTGTATCATAAAACGAACTTTAAATTAATTAATTGGTGTTTTGAGGAAGTTCTTCGTGTAAAAAATGCGTTTACAGTTTCATTTTACTGAAAACTAACTAATAACTCTTATAGATATTTTTCAAATATATTTATCGTACTTTTCCTATGGCTTCAAAACTTTTTGGAAGTTAGGTGAATCATTTTTTTATAAATTATTTCAGTATTTAAAAACATCTTTTATATTGCGGGAACTGAATATAAGATGTTTGTTAGGTAAGGTGGGTGCAAAAAGTGAGCGAGCAATCTTTATTCAGAGCGTTTTCTTATTTGGCATTGGAAAGTGGATTGTTGCGTATTGAAAATGTATGTGTATTGTTGCGCAAAGGGCAACTGTCCGTATTAACACTGGAGCCATTGTGTTTATGTCTGCAATAGATTGCGGAGTCCTGCGGCCGTTTTCTAGGCATTTTCAGCACGCCCTTTTTCCAGATTTCTTTCATTCCGCCTAAATGGTTTTAAAATGCGGCCATGTCGTTCGCATTGCGAGATAATGGCGTCCACGGTTCCTGAACAAGAAAATTTATCGCACCTTGCTCAAGGGGTGTCCTCGCAACACCTCCCCTGAATTGGCGCGCAAATCAAAGAACGAGGACTGCAATAAAAAAAAAGTAAAATAATGAAGATTGGGGTGGTTTGGTATTTATTTTGATTTGCGATTGGACGCGTGATTGCTTGCGCCCGGGGCGTTGTCGTTTAATTAGTGCCCGTTTCCGCAATGATATTGGCAATTTCGAACGTTACAAGTGTGCGTTTTCGAAGGGCGCTTCCGATACATTGCGATGGGGGTAGAAATCGTATCATCCGCCCCTTTCATTTCTTTTTTTCGGGCGTTTGTTGTCTGTTGTGTTCGGGGCGAACAGGTAACAATGTTATTCTGCGACGCAGTTTTGCGGCCGGGCGGCCATCTTAGAGTGCTTCCGTGGGGCGGAGACTCTCGACGGACCAATGGATTATTGCGGTCCGCGGATTCGCAATTGCACGTAAACCACGCGAGGCCAGCACGGCGCGCGATCGCCGCCACCGCTCCAACAACAACAACAATGGGAAAATGTGCGTGCGTGTGAGATAGAGAATACAGAGGGGCGCTTCCTCCCCAAATTGGGGTTGTTGCAAATGGTATTCGTTATTCAATTAACGAATAGTGGATGCGGGACACGTGTTTTTTGCTGCGCAAGCGCATCCTACTTTACTTCACTCAAATATCGCTTTTCCCGCCAATATCTTTTACGTCTTCTGCAATACTACACATGCTTTACATAATACCACCCTCAAAACAATAACAAACATGTTTCCATTTGGTGCGTTTATTATTATCCTAAATATTCTAAGACAATAAGTTAATGTTTCTTCTATTTTTTTTCTAGGCAAATGGTATCCAGAGTCTTACTGGAATTGTTCAAGCTGGGTCCCGTAGACGGACTGACCCAGGACTTTCCGCAGATCATGGACGTGGTATCGCGATTGGTGGAGGGAGAAGGTGAGTTTTGCTTTTGATACGTTTATTTCCTTTCCCACGCTCCATTATCAGCATTTATCATCCATTACACCATTTAATCGGTCTAAGTAAGCCAAGCTAAAGTGTTATTGTCATCTCGCAATATTTCATCTAATCCTCTCTACCGACAAGAATAATATAAACCTATTTAATTTAAAAAATATGATCAAGAAAACCACCCGCGCATTATCTGTATAACTGTATTACGTACAATATTTTAAGAAACGTGTAACTCGCTGAGCGTTGAATATGAATAATGTTAATGAAATAGACTCGTGTTGCAACAATTTGGGTATTATCAGTAAAAAGAAGGTCAACAGAAACTTAAATTAAATTAAAGTTACTCCATTGGTGGTCTACCGCAATCTGTTTAGAATGTATGTTAATAAAACAAAATATAAATGAAATTCTTATACAAATTCAGTTTTTGAAGCAAGAACAATTTTACTTTTATAAAAATGTAATTATTTGTTTTTAAATTAAATTCAAATTATTTTGTATTTAAAGATGTCGAAAATACGCAAGAACAAGGAATTCTCGGTAATATTTACTTCAATATTATACCACGCCCACATAGCGATGAAAATAATTTCTAGATTTTGGACTCGCAGTGAAAGTGAACTTTTTTCGTCTCGCGATTCTTTTTCCTTCTTCATTAATGAATGAAAAGTCGTGTTGACCCGATTTGCTGGTTGGTTGATACTCGGGCCGCAATTGGTGATGTAGGAGTATCAGCGTGGGCGTCCTGATATTTTTTCAGTTCTTCTTTCTCTTGTTCTTCCTCTCTTCTGCTTTCGTTGATTTCCTGCTGGAACGATGTTCGTCTTCATATTGTTGTATTAGTTTCGCCTCCCTCCGAAGAATTAAGATGCGTTCCACAAATAGGCACCGCATTTCGAAACACGTGTTTGCGATTCGAGGAGGAAGAAAAAAAAAAGAAAAGTGGCTCGAAACGAGGGGGGCGGAATAAGAGATCATTTAAAGAAGAAGAGAGGAGGCCGCGTGTTGTGTGAGTTTAGTCATCTGCATTTGCATGCGTGTAATCCCGGTGGAATGTCCGGAGCTATTTCTGTTTTCCGAAGGGAACCGTTTCCGGCGACGGTGACAGGAAGCGGCGCACGTGGATGCGAGATGGGCCAGGGGGGATGGTAGCGGGATTGCAGCGGCCCCCTGCGATACATCTCTAGTACGCGGTTATAAATAGTCGCAGACACCGCCACCACCACCACCCGGACATTGCAACTACCCCCAACGAATACGGTCTTAATTTAGACACAGGGCGCCTAGATGCTAGAGTACACCACCATCCCGTTTAGTCGTAAGACGAAACGCGTAGCGATAAGCAGCATTGCTTATCCAGATTTAGTCGGCGTTCGCTGCAGAATTATAAGTCGCTCTCTTTCTGGAGATTAGATTCTCCTTCTGTAAATATTTATTTCCGTTGGGTTAAATTAACAAGCGTGTCGCGCCTTCAAGAATAGTGAGCCCAGTGCGTTGGTTGAAGAAAGAAGAACATAGGAGAGAAGCATCGGAATACCACATTCTCGTGTCCCGAGTGATGCGGGTCAATGCTGCAATTGCATTGTCAGGGTTCTATGCGCTGCACTCGATAATTATTGTGTCGCGTCGCCTATTATGTCATTGGCTAATAAATAGTACCTCTAAAAACGCGCTGATCCAATGAAAGTGCAGGAAACGAGCCCGCTCGGGGAAATACTTTTTCTTTTCGTCATCGCCGTTGTTTGAAATATTCGTTCGGTAATTTTCCGCTAAGTGGATGTGAATTCATATAAGCATAGAAAGAACGAGGGGAATAGTAACCAACCACCACAACAATTACACTGATACGGGTATTTAGTCTTCACATATCAAGTGGGCCTAGAAATCAACCATTGCAATGATACAATTCTTAAAGTAAGTGGTATTTATCAATTAGTCTTACTAATATTTCTATTAGAAAGAAAATCTTGCCGTAACTTGTACATACAAAATGGAAAGAAACTTATATTATCAATTTATTTTTCTGTAAGCAAGATTTATATGTTTTTTCCTTTGTTATATAAAGCAATTGACATTATATTTAACTGGGAATTCCTAATTCATAAATATGTGTCTGAATTCATTGAAATTGTAGTAGGATATTACACATATCCGGAAATGATTAAGTTACGTAAATTTTCGAGTACTTTTAAAACTTTTTTAACGGATTATTATTTGGTTTTTTCAAAAAATCAATGTATTACTTTAATAATTTTTACTTAGTATTTTCATTTGAATTTAATTTTGAAATATTAACTATGTTCGAAGAAGTGACTTTAATGTATTATTTGTAAGTAATACTGAATAACATCACCTATCTTTCATACAATTAGGAAAACCTTGTAACGTGTACAATTGTAATTGTGCACAATTATTGAAATTGAAATGTAATAGATCTTTCAATATTAGAATGAAGTATAAAACCGCAGATAATTAGGAAAGAAAAGTTATACAGATTTGTATGTAGAATCGTAAATAGACAATTAATTGCTTTTCTTCTGCATCCAGAAGTAAAACGCTTTTGCTGTATGTTGATGGTGTCGGTAATGGCGCGTGGTGGGGGTTAGGTAGGGTATAGGGTGTGCGTGAAAGAAGAAAGCGAAGGAGGAGGGACAGAGAGAAGTTTACGATATGATGACGGAATAGGTGTGGCGAACAGGAGATGATGTGCAAAGGGAAGTGCTCTTCGTCCCCCCGAAATATCGATCCCTTGAGTCGGCTCTGCGGGGGCCGTAGTGTAGATGCGTAGCTCTCTCAAATCCGAGCCGATCTCTCTACCCCACCTCTCTTCCTCGTTCCCTACCCCACCCCATTCCATCTACTATCCGTCCATCCCTCTCCGCGTGTTCCACCCCTGAACTTGACACACTGTCCGCAATACATAGTTCCATGTACACACGTGCACACGGACAGTGCCGGCGAAATCTGGGTGCACACCTCGGTGGAATGTGTTAGCAGGAAATGGGCGGCAGCGAAATCCAATTCAAATAAAATTTTGTTTATTTTGTGGCATTGATGTAGAGAGCTCATGTTATCGCGCCTTTCCTCTTTATTCGAGCTGCGGTTGTTCTGGGAATCGGAAGAGTGCGTGCGCTAGCGTGTGTATGTTGGTGTGTGTGTACTTGCGCGCTATTTTATTAATAAGTTTGAATGAATGAAGTTTCTAAATTGTGGATATTTGGACTGAGTGAGTGAGAGAGACGGCGGAAAAATGTGTTGTGGTAGCACTGATTAGGTTCGGTGCGCGCGTTTCGGAATGTTCTGCCGCAACGGTAAACTGCAAAGAACCGTCCAGACATGGGGCGGTTCTGAATGCGCTGTCTCTGAATGAACGGCTAGTATACTACATACATACGAGCGAGCGGGCAACGATCTCTGGAGCGAGATCAGCGCCGCCCGGTGCCGTTGCCACGAACCATTAGTACTTGCACGCACGCGGCGTGGCTTCCATGACGCTTCGCGATCGCCGCCTCCGGTTTTCGCGCCAGAAAACCGTGGAAAACCGCACCGCAATGAGGAAAACGCGATGCATGACCGTGTGCAGAACCACCAGGTGAGTCGTCATTGAATTTCCCGGATTCGCGCGCCCCGCTTTTTCGCCACACTTCGTCGTTACGTTTCCGGTTAACCTCAAGCCAGCCCCATATTCAGGCGACAATCAAAATGGTGGGTGAAACCTCGTGCTCTCTACCGAAGCCCACCAGACTCAGATCATCTTTTTTTTCTTCTCGCCATTCCATTTTCCTTCTTCCTCTTTATTCGTCCTTTTTTTTTTACCATCTTGCATGCATTCGAGAGAATTCCCCCCGTTGTCGTTTACTTCTCTCGCGAACGAACTTTCACGCCGCGACGATTTCGAAAGGCGGTGCTCGTGCTTCTACGGAAGAGACGCGATTTTCACATGGTCCTCAATGGCGTTGCCACCCCTCATTCACCATGCCATTACCCCCTTCATGTTTTCATACAACCTTAACCTACAAATTTTCAAGTTTGTTTTGCTTCATCTCTCCAAACGTCATTAACTTGATCCCACAACAATAAATCCAATTGGTTTAAATGTATTGCTTTTTCAGAGATTATGGTGTGCACTTCTATGCTGGAGCAGTTACCTAACCTGGCATTGCTTGGCGTCCAGTGTTCGGAACGCGTGCCGATCCTGGCCGACATAGTGGGTGATTACATACTTCCATTGGTTGTTAGGAACCTGGGAACAAGCAAGGAGCAGGTTAGAAAATCTGCACATCAAACTTTGTTCTCTTTGATGGAGCAAGGACTTGTCACCAAAGCTCAAGCTGAGATTCAAGTGTGCCCCACAATATTGGCATTGTCCAGGAAGGAATGTCTGATGTACTACCATACAGATGCAATAGCGGTAATAACCTTTTTAATTAACCCCCCTGTCAATCATATTAGTTATAAGTGCTAAACAATTGACACTATTTACCTTGGCATTTGCTTCTTGAAAGACATGGGTAGTGAGATGTATTTCTGATTATCTCACTACCTTGTCTTTCATGGAGCACTTGCCTATTCTTCATTCCAACCATCATCACATGTGTGTGTTAATTCAGTTGTTGTTTTCTTCAGTGTTTTATCTTTGCAGTCTATTTAGGTTGGAGGAGTTTGTCAGTGCTCTTCAGAGTTGGCGGTTGTAGATATTTAGAACTATCACAGCCAGCTTTGATGAGCATTGATGGGCTGGAAGTCACCTGGTCAACTGGATCTGGGCAAGAAACTGAATGCTCATGCCTGTGCCATCAATTTGGTTGTGAAACCTGATTTTCAACCAGATATCACAGCCATTTTGATGAGCTCAGTTGTGATCTAACACAACACGTTTGTTTTAATATAATGTACACTATTTTTATTATTATAATTATTTTATTTTTGTGGGTGTAATTTGTAGCGAAGAAGTGCGAATGCCTCAGCCGTCAATTTGGTTGTGAGCTCGAGATTTTTTTGTACCGATATCACAGCCATTTTGACGAGTTGAGTTGTTCGTTAAATCATCATGGTCTCATCGGGAATTCAAACTGACAGATTTTGCCTTGCTCATCAACTGGATGTGAAATGATGACTTTAGATACATATCACAGCCAGCTTTGATGAGCGAGGCGGAATTGACGATTTCAACGACGTTGGGATGGGGAAGTATTGGGGAATCTGTAAGACATTGGTATGTTATGGCCCTCATCAGTTGGATGTGAAATGTATATGTGTATCATATCACAGCCAGCTTTGATGAGCGCTATGATGTATAATCAAATCAGTTCAAAACATTATTTTTAATCTATTTTACATTCTAACATAGTTTTTTTTTTCACTAATACTGCATATTAATTGTTTGTTTTATTAACTAATTCCGTTGTCTTTGGTTGCAGCTGATGTGCAAATTGGTCTCATTAGTGGGAAGAGATGTGACTGAGAGAGTATTCTTAGATAGATTTCTAGAGTTGTGCGCGGACCAAATGTTTTATGTACGAAGGGTGTGCGCCGCCCACTTTGGCGACTTCTGTGCAGTTGTAGGAAAACAGAGTTACGAGAAGCTATTGGTAGGTCCCGCCTTTGATGTGCAAGGTGTATTTCATTTGATAATTGTTGTTTGTGTTTTTAGTTACCGGCTTTCATCAACCTATGCAATGATGATGCTTGGGGCGTTCGCAAAGCATGCGCAGATGTGGCGATGTGTGTGTCTTGTGCGTGTTCTCCAATGGCTCGTCGTAATGTCTTGGCGCCGGTCTATGCCAAGTTCTTGCAGGATGATAACCGCTGGGTGCGAAGCTCCGCCTTTCAAACTTTAGGTCCTTTTATTTCCACTTTTGCCGATCCTACTATAACCTCGCTGGCTTATAATAACATGGGCGAATTAGTTTTAGTTAGTACTGATGGCAGTGAATTCAAGTAAGTTATTCTGGTTATGCTTAATTACTTTACTATCTTCTAACCCCTAAGCTCACGATTATTTTCAATTGAAGAGTGCAAGTTCAAAATGCTCCCATTCCAAAAATATATTTACAATATTATATATAAAGATTATGATTCATCATTTAAGTTCCAAGAATGAAAACATTGATATATAATAGTCTGAATCATACGATTTTCCTTGAATATGATCAAGATTGAAAAACATACAAAATCATTTTAATTGATTTATAATATATATAGTTTTTTTTTATTGACATACAAATCTGTTATTAAATATTTGTTAATAAGTTTTGAATTCTTGCAATATTAATTTTTTTGATGCTTCTGGCAGTACGCTGTTTTTATTTTGATTTAATTTTAATAATCATATTTATCATATTGGAGCTCATTTTGAACTGTAAATGTTCTCAAGGAATAATTGATTTATTCATGTTCTTCGTTTGATTTACAGAATAAATTCTACTGTGCCTCTAACTGAAGATGTCAAGCACATGTATTACATACCTTGGGATGATGGCAAGGCCGCAGTAGAGGCAGCCTCTCAATTGTTTATGGAATATCCGACTTACGACAAGCAGATGAAAGAGATTGCTGGAATGGAGGCCACCTCGAATGACATAGATAGCACCATTAAGAATTTAGTGGATATATTTCAAGTAGTCGGATCTGAGAATGAGATTGAGACGGAACAGCAAAGCGTAGTCGAAGTAAGCGGCGAGCCTCTAATTAAGGACGATAGAAATGACGAAGAGGGATCGTTCAGCAACGTAAATATTGATGACGTCGTCGAAATGTATTCTGACCATTGCGTAACCGACGACGAGACGAAGAAGAAGAACGCTGCTGCATCCGGTAGTGCGAACTGTGAGCAGGGGGAACGGACTAATCTTGTAAATAGTGCCGAGAAAGCAGCGGCTGGTGATAATGTAGTTAATGCGGAGCAGAAAGAGAACCAAATAGATTGTGATATTAGCGCAATTACCGACCAACTGACAAATGTCGATCTATCGAATGGTAACCAAGTGAACCAAAGCCTTAGTCAAAATGGTACAGAGGCGACTGAAGCGCGTTTAGATAATGGCAATGATAAAGCGCCGACGGTTCAAGGTAAAGATGAGGAGGGGGTGGATAATTTATACAACTCGTATAATTATTGGTATGTACCTCCAGATTTGCCTTTGGATCCAAGCGTCGTAAATGCTCAAGAATTTACTACTGCTAATGAGACTGCTTTAAATGCATCGGATGAGGTAAACTACTCGTAACCGCAAGGTTTACACTATTTAATAAATAATACATTAAATACAACATAGATTTCAACAATTTCATTGCCAAATACGAACTATATATTGAATTAATTTTAGTTTAAAAATATCGTAATTCTGGTATGGATTTCTCAAATGTTTTACCATCTATTTTGTTTTTCGTTTTGTTTTAATTTATCGCTTAGTATTGTTTTTTTTTTCAATATTTTAACAATGCCATTAATAACTGGTTTATTTCATATAAATTTTTTATGCATGCGTTTGCCATCATTATATTTTTCGACATTTACAATCCGATATTTAATGAATTGTTCGTTCTTTAGCAATCCGCTGCAAGTTTGAATGACACTTTCAACAAGCCAATGAACACCACCCACGTTTTGGATCACTCTTATGTAAAAACGGATAATTCATCAGGTATTTATTTTATCAATATACATTTTACTTGAATTTAATTTCTAATCTATTTTTAGATGACTTACCAGAACCCAACGCGGAATTGACTGAATTGAAGGAACCCTCTCAGCACATAGTACCACAGCTGCTGATTGATCATTTTATTTCGATGACTGATCCGAACACTGCCCAATGCGCGGATGATAACATCATTTATCACTGCGCCTATTCTTTACCAGCCGTAGCGTTAACTCTAGGAAGTAGCAATTTCCATTTACTGAAAGGAACAGTAAAGTCGCTGGCTGAGAATATGCAGTACAAAGTTCGGAGGACTTTAGCTAGTAGTCTGCACGAACTTGCAGAGATTTTGGGCCCTGAATCTGCTTTCACCTATCTCACGCCTATATTTAATGGTTTTATTAAAGATTTAGATGAAGTCAGAATCGGCATTTTAAAACATTTAGCTCATTTTCTCAAGGTAATTAACTCTACAACAGGATAGAATTTTAAATTTTACCAACAACAATTTCTTTTATTTTTTACAGTTGATTAGTCCGACTAAGCGATTGTCATACTTACCTAGACTCACGGTTTTCCTGCAGAATCATCACGAATTGAATTGGCGCTTCAGGCACGAATTCGCGGAGCAGTTGCTGCAATCTGTTACTCTGTTTCCTCCAGTCGAGGCCTCCAAGCACATTACTCTAATTGCTCAAATTTTACTATACGATAAAGTAAGCGCTGTGCGCGAAGTTGCTTTGACTTTAGTATGCGAACTCATGAAGCATATAGGTAGTGAGCCTGGATTGATGCCGATGACGTTGGTTAGGTTTGCAGAAAAATTTGCTCATTCCAAGAAGTGGAAAATGCGGCAGACCTTCGTCCTGCTCAGCGCTGAGTTGCTGTCATCCAATGCACTACCAATAGAGCAATTCGCCAGCGAAGTGATGCCGCATCTCTTAGATCTGAGTTGGGATCCGGTAGCTAACGTCCGATTAGTTGTTGGTAGAACCATAACACAGAACATGATTGAAAATGGTAAGTTTTAATTGATTTTATTTTCTTTTTTTTTTTTGCATATATGCAATAAGTCAAAATTAAATTTTAAAATGATGCTACTTAGTCCGTGTTTCAGCTGAATTAATATTGATTACACCCTTTGACATATCTGATTCTATTCAGTTTAAATCAAATACTACATTTATCAGTGATTTGAACGATAGTAACAAGTTCTGTTTTTATTATTTACAGAATATTTATCGGATCCGGAAAATCAACACAACGAAATGATTCAAAAGGTTCTACAGAGATTGCAGAATGACAAGGATAACGATGTCAGGCAATCCGCTCAATACGAAGAAATAGATACAGAAGTATCTTAACTGAACTGGATCTAAATATAATAGGAACTTATTCCTAACCTAATTTTAACATCGAACATATTTAAACTACCTTTTTTAAAATGTTGTTTATATATTTTTGTCTTGTTTTTAATTTATCAAAACATATTTTTTTAATTATCTTAACTTAAACATAATTCAACTCATTTTTTTTCTCTATCTTTGTATCCTTTGAATCGGTTCATGTATTATTTCTATGTAAATTTTTATATTTACGTATGTACGATGATTTCGAACGAGATGTGTAAATATTGTTTTATACAATTGAAGCATCTTTGGAAAAAAAATAATAATAAAAAAATAACATGCAACTCGCTAAAAGGAACTGCCTTTAAAATTCAAAATATAAAACGAAACAAAAAAAAATAAAATAAAAATGATAAGTGAAAATATTAAACCAATGATTTTATAAGTAATTCATATTATTGTTATTTACTGTATTATATGTATTTACAAAAGTTGGTTAAATAAATATTTGTAAATATTTAAAACTTTAGATTTTGCATTTTTATTTTCCAACTGAAAACAATCATAAATTATTGCTGTTCTTACGTAACGTTGCAATAGTTGATGTTGGTTATTGTTTAGAAAAAAAATGTCGAGACAATTAGTTATGTCATTGAATGAATGAAAATATGTCAAAATTATTGAATAAATCTGAAATTACAAATAAGATTCAAGAAGACTGATCGTAATACTTGAGTAACTACTTGTCATTTTATTGAATACATTGATACAAATTGTTCGGAATTTTGGTAGTGTGTGGGCACCTGAAAACCACGTGTGAAAATTTATTATTTGAATAGGTTACCCGTAATACAAGCATATTTGGTTGTCTATAGTGAATAGTCATAAGAACAAAACTTAAAATTTGTATAAAAATGCGGCATTCAAATCAAAATTCAATGAATTTATACTACATTTTACATTTCATAAAATAAATCAGTTTTATCTAGTTTATAAATATAATTATATTTTTTTGTTGCAATAACCTACATTTTTAGTCTAGACCAGTGATTCTCAAACTTTTAGGTCCACGACCCCTGAAGAATGGGTATATGTAGAAAAACAACCATTGATCTGTTATTCATTTTTTTGCGACCCCTCTAAAGGTCGCGACCTACACTTTGAGCATCAATTTTGTAGCGCGGTCGCCTGCTACGAGCTGAAGAATTTGGAAAAAAGTGAATAAGATTTTCGAACGTTCCGTAATGTAACATTGAAAGGACGTTTTTTTTCCAATTGCATCCCTTTAAGATAATTACATCATCGACTACACCATTTAAAGCTGAATACCTCACCTTTCCAAAGAAACTATGGGATTTTAAAAATTTTTAGTCCGACCCTCTTTTGGACATAAAAAGTTTCTACTAAGTTTCCCCCGAAGAATGGGTATGATTATTTTTTTGCGACTCCCCTCGGGGTTGATAAGTTCGTCGATAACTTTTCTATTATATATCCTATATAAACGTTATATAATACATATTAACACAAAAATATTAATACAGGACAAATGAAAAACGAATTGTTCTTATATATATATTTTTTTATTACGTTTTTAATGTGTTTAATATAATTCAATGTAGGAAGTTAGGCAGGAGCCAATAATAATAACATAATACTTATTTCTAATATTTACATATTAATGAACACAGCATGCTCAAAATAATAATAATAATAATAAAATAACACATGGTTTATATTATAATGAAAAATATTTAAAAACTACCGGAAACAAAGAAAAATAAAAACAAAATAAACGTAAAACTGAAAGCACCATTGTATCATTGCCGAAGAATGTAATGTAATTAACAAATAGGATTATTCAATTTATAAATACGAAACAAAAGGAAAGGTGAAAAAAAAAACAAAAAAAAAACAAACATAATGTTATATATATATATATGTATACAAAAAACGTATTAGGCAATCGATTTTCTTTGTGTTTTCTAAATTACACAAGGAAACAAATAATAATAAAAAATAAATGATCAACAACGAAAGTGTCCACGCTCTTCTCCATATTCATCTCAATGTTTATTTTTTTTTTGTTGTCTTATTGGGTTGTATTTGTGTTTGTTTGTAAACTGTACAGCATATATATATTTACAAATAATCGTCTAAATGAATTCAGAAAACGCTCCAAGAGACAAAGATATAGAGAGATAGAGATAAATTGTTATTATTATAACATTACAATAATGTTTATTAAAATACGATTTTTTTCTTCTTCGTTAACTCCACCGAAACATTCAAAACTTCATTCACATTTTATATTCATTTAAATACGGTTATTATAGCGTACAGTTGCGTGGGTTTTCTTTTTTGAGAGGTGGGAGTGGGTGGAGTGTACATTTGGGGAAGGAGAGGTCGGGGTTTTTTTTTTTTTTGGGTATTATAGGTACAAACACTGTTATAACAAAACTAAGTCATGCACTTGATTACTGAATATATTATCCATTTGATGTATGTTTGTGTGTGTGTGTGTGTATATAGTCTCATAGTTCACAGTCAGCAATTGAACTTTTGCTCGTCGATCTCTTCTTCACATCATCCGCATAGTCGTTTTCTGTGCCCCCGCTGCCTCCTCTACATCCACATCCTCCCTACTTCTCAACATACAAATACTCCTCATGCTCTTCGACCTCCGCCGCCGCCACCAAAACGCGATTTCGCGATTTATCGCTGCTGTGTCGGCTGAGGAGATTGGCGCGTGCCGCCTCCGCCCGCGCTCGCATTCTGAGTGGCCGGGCTGCTTCCGTTTCCGGCGGACATTTTCGAAAATGCCAGCAGTGTGTCGGGGAAATTCGGCGGGGTTGCGGGTGTATTACACGGCGTCATCACCTGCTGCAAAATCAACAACAACAATGTATAACATCAGAAAACAGCAACAGGAAGTACGTGGAAATATCTAAAAGTTTCCAGAACATAACAGTCTTGTCTTCTTGGAACTATACAAGAGTAAATTATCAATTTTGTTTTGAAACGTCATACAACTTATGGAATCGTAGTCATCTTCTTCGAAGCTTCTTCACTACGAATTGTGCAATACTTGAGAACAATGTGAATTGACGATACTTCAAGCTTTGATTTTATCGTTCAAATTTTACACTATACTATTATATTATTTTTCCATTTTCCAAATTTCACTGGATTATACTCAAATTACAATATTATCATTCCAATCGAATGTATGATTGTAACTCACGTAGCCTTTGCAAACTCTCATAACTTTTTTACGAATTCATGGATTTCTCTAATACTCTTTCAATCCACAAGTACTTTTGATCTTCAACTGATGCATTTCTTAATACTTCTGTAGCAAATCAATTTGAAACTATAAATCAGAAACTAGTTTTCTTTAAAAATGTTGTAATTAAAGCTCTGTTTTGTTCTGAAAACTTTTCAATCAATCCTATCATGAATTACGTACCTGTCCGAAATGCGACGCCGAACTGGGAATTGCTGCCTCTTGGAAGAATATGCTCAAAGCGGTCTGCAACAAAGAAGAAAACAAATCTTTGAAAATCAATACTTCCGAAAAATTACAAACGATTGTCGTGAAAAGTGTGTGTTTGTACTACAAAACTGTAAGCGCTTACATTACAATCTGTCTATCAAAGAAATAAAGCCCATCTTTCATGGTTTAAGCTTATTGCATCGCACGAGATTGCGACGCTTTTATTCTCGTGCTCTCGCATCAATTGAGACGATTGTTTAAAACTTCCTCAAGAAATAATCGAGTAAAGAGTTTCTGTCTAAAAAGTCTATCCAACCGACATTTATCAACGATTCTTTCGCGATCGAAAAGATAACTAATTTCCTCGACTTCCTCCGCTCAGGGCAAACAAAGACGAATTGCAGTAATTGCTGAGTGTCGGGAATTGATGGTATTAATTACGAGCTGTATTCCAGTGCAAATATCACTTCTTTTATTTATTTCTCACGGAAATCAGCCAATTATTCTAATTCAATCGAGTTTCCGTACTATTCGAGCGTGCAAAGTTGTGTTAATTAAAGTAATGATTCCATTCCGTCGTATTTCATAGAAATTATTGAAAGAATCATACATTACAAGAGTTTGTGAATGATTTTGATTTTGATCCATGGAGAATCAATAAAGAGAATCTTCAATAAACATGTTTAAAGAAAGTTATAGTAAAAACTTATAACTTTTATTTATTCATATGTAATATATCTAATTTTCAAAAATCTCTTAATTGTTTAAAAGTGGTTTTTAGGTAAGTAAATAATCAAGGTAATTTACTCTTTTAATCAAAACAGTCTCAAAAAGTATTTTATGATTATAATATGAAGTATTAGTTTGAAGAAAAACCAGAAATATGATTAGTTCGAATATTTTTTTTCTATAAATGCGTTAATCTTAATTGATTGATTAAGTAATCGTAAAATATTTTCATTTGCAATAAAAACATGTAGCAATAATTGTAACTGCCGATTCACTGCAAACAAATGAAAAAAAATATCCGTCCGTTTCGAATTGTTCCTGAAGTACCTCAAGGAAATGTACTTGGAACCACATAATCTTATCTCCGCATCAAATCTACGAATTTGATAATAGTTGAGATTGCACTACATTAATACCAACTCTTAATGTGGAGCAGTTACGTACTGCAACTAAAGAAATCAAATTGACTGGCGTCACCTTTCTGAGAATGAAAAACAAACCGTACAACTTTAAATAACAAAGAATTATCACATGCGGTTGTTTTAAAATATCTAGGTGGGAATCTGTAGATGGAGTGAACATACTTCAGACTTAAATCCAGCAAAACCAAATTTACTTATAAAAAGCAAAATCAGAACTAATATATATATATATTTAGAAATTTTGTTTTAAATAAGACTTTTTTTTTTAATTGAATATAGTTTTGGATTATATTTGTCATCAATGTATAAAAAATACCTCGCATAATGCTGATTCACTATAGTGCGGTTTGAAAATTTCAAACAAAAGTACACTAAATTATTTTTGTATATATAAATAATCCGATTTTGTCCTTTATACAATTAAGTCTATTATTGTGCTGTATCCTCAATTAATTCGGTTTCAAACAGTCCTAGATATTGGTATATAACTTTGTCCCTTTGTCAGTTCATTGCACATTTTATTTTTCTATTTAAAAAAATATGTATTTTATGTTTAAAAGTTGTAAAACGAAGTTTTCGTTTATGTTCATTCAAATCAAGGGTAATTGCAGTGACTAACATCGATCAATGTTCTATTTCAGTGTGTGTGCTTATAAACTGCTAGTTAACATACGAAATTACAGAGTGGAGGTAATATTTTGAAAATACACGAAATATCATCATATAATCAATAAAACGGAATTATAAAATGAAATTCACGTCGCTACTGTAATTACTTTTATAATGCAGCACGAAATACAAAAGCATAAAGTATTATCGTGTTGACATTTATTAATTCACTTTTTTTCACTTTACATCAATTTATAGTTTTTAGTATGTTTAAAATTTTCAAACCGGACTATGCGATGTATTTGTAATCAATTTAAACAAATAAATAAACTACTAGTTAAGTGTAAATCTAATAATTTACACAATAAACTTTGTAATTAAAACATGCAATAGTAGTATTGGAAAGTTCATGCCAATTTTCGCTAATTAACATTGACAATGCCTAAATATATCAGAATTGTTAAAAACTTTTCCAAAGTTTGATTCGGATTAAATGATTTATGTCAGAAGATAGAAGAAAAAGTGCATTTTAAACTTTGATACTTTTCAGTTGCTGCAAGGCTAAAAATACAAATAAAAAGTAATTGGATAAGTTTAGAACTGGTGATTTCAACATTAAAGATATGTTAGTAACAATGATAAAATCAAGACATTGATAAAGAATAATCCGAACTACACGACACGTAAATTAACAAAGATATTAAAAATATCAAAAACAACCACCCACGAGCGTTTTTTTTAAGCTTACTTATATAAACCGTTACGGTATATGAGTTTTGTACAATTTAACTGAGAAAAAATCTACACTACTAGCCCTTATGTTTCTTTGCATAATACAAGGTGGCGCAAAAGTAATGTCATAATTTGTATTGGCTACCATTTTTTGCCATGGAGCAACCTTAAGAACATGGAAACTATGGAGATTTTTTTGAGATTTTTTGGATTTTGGAGATTTGAACTGGCCTAACATCACCAGACTTCTTCCTTTGGAGCTTTTTAAAATCTCGCGTTTACCACAACAAACCACGAACCTTGCAAGTCTTGAAAGCTAACATTGAAGAAGAAATCGCCAATTTGGAGCCATATGTTTTGCGACTAACAATTGAAAATGCTGTAAAACGAGCGCAATTATGCATCAACTCGGTTTCAAATAAACTTGATGAAAACAGAGCTCTTTTTCATTTATACCAAAATGGCAGCCAATTCAAATTATGACATTATTTTTGCGCCACCTTGTATTTACCATACAGTGCACCTTCCGATTTCTACCAATTCGGGTCTTTGCAACATTCCATCCGTTTGTGTTAATTCAAATTTTTAGTCGACATAAGCACAGAAAAGTTTTTCAACGAAAAACTATTAATTATAGGAGGATGTAATGTTTAAATTGCGTGAAAGATGAATATAGAGATATAGATGAAAACGATGTATACATAATTACAAATATGTATATCGATATATAAACCCAATAATAATTATGAAAAACTAGCATTTCTTTCTTATTGTACCTGATGTACCCAATGGAATCATACTTGGGTTTATGCACAATCTTATCTCCATATTAAATTGACTAAACATCAAACTTGTAATATAATATTACAGATGATGACACATTTGTTTAAACACAAAAAATCTTATTCGTATTATCTTTATTGCACGATGGAAAATATCCAAAAAACGAGAATTTGATAAATTTCTATACTAAAGAATACATGTGTGTGTATCACATAGAAACAATAATATACGTAGAGATAGGCAGGTTTTTAACCCGAACGCTCTATATCTCCAAACTAATTATTACTGGCGTCTCTGAAAAAAAAAAAAAATAAATAAAATGAGGCAGTAGCAAAATCTTACCGCAAACACACATACAAAAATTAAGCGTTATCTGAACGATGTCTGCCAGATAAAGAAAACGTATGTAATTTCTATATTTACTACAAATAAGTGTTCACAACAAATGCATTGTTTACCAGTGCGGACGCAGTCGGATCACAAAGAAATACGGAAAGTATTAAGAGAAGATGAGATTGGAGTAGAATGGAATGGAAAGAAGATTGAGTGGAGAAGATTTCGTTTTAGGTCCCATGATGGAATCTCGCTAATTAACTTAAAACTTATTGGACTTTTCTATTATCGCCGTATATCAATCTAATACCGCTGATATCAACAAAATAAACTTAAGGAAGGAAAGAGAGAAAACTGACAAAAAAAAATTGAAAGAGAAAATAAATACAAATGGAATAAACGATCGCATGACTTGATGTGTGAGTGTGTTTCGTTTTGTTTATTTACCTGATCGCGTGTTAAAATGCGAAAAAAAATTGTTTCTACCTGGGTCTAATAGATATATCCACGGATTTGCGTCGTTTTGCATGGTACACATTATTAGTGTTATTTATTTATTTCTCTCTCACTCGTCATTTCGCGTTTGCAATGGATTATTGTAGAATTTTCGATATCAGAAATCGAGCAAAACCCATACATACACACATACCAATATTTCTCACTCACATGCACACCCACCTTTATCGTAATGAGATTTCTCGCTGTGTGTAAGACACACACAAATAAATAAATAAATTCGTTCAATGCCACGACAATTGCAATCTCGTACGCTGATCTCGAAATACAAGTATACATTTCGCTCACAAATCAGAGAACAAAAAAAAGATAACAACATGTATGTTCGTTGCATAAACCTGTCCATACTATATACAGTATTTGTTCCTGAAACAATTGCTCTACTTTATTTTTGTATACCTTAAAAAAACTTCTTCGTTTCATCAAGACACTTATAGATTGGTTTACAATATTAACAATAGAATTATAGAACTCCTTAATTTCATGGCTTTTAGATTACATAATTAATAAAATAAATTAATGTTAATACCAGAAAAAAACTACTAATGTTCCTTTTATATGGAATAAGTCAATTTAGTGTTGTGACTCTTTCAGAGCTGGTGGTACACGCAATGTACCATCTTTTGAACATGCCTATTAGGGCATTATTATAATTTTCTAGAAAATCTACAGGAATGTAAGAAGAATTATCCATTTATTTGGTTGATATGTCAAGGGATGAATCTTGATAGTCCATACCATATGTTGATTTAGTTGACGAAGTTGTTTGATTCAGTTGTTTGATCATTTGTTAGAACTAGAAATTTAGTAATTTATGACCCCCTCGAAGAGTTAAACCAGTGTTTTCCAACCTTTTTTTATGCTGTGCCCCACCAAAGCCTTTCTGCAAAATCTTATGTCCCTTATGTAACG